GGGTGGGGGTGGGGACAGGATGAGCAGGCTCCTGAGTCCCTTGTACCAGGAGTGGCTAGGGCAGGACCCCAGCGAGAGGCCTTGTCCACAGGAACTAGGTGTGTGGTCTCCAGAGCCCTGCCCTCAGGTCCCACCCAGGCCTGGGGTCAGCGTGGGGCAGCTCCCACCTTCTCCCGACCTATCCTGGGTGGGATTCTGTGTGGGGCCGAGACTGGTGGTCCTGCAAGTCCCGGCCACATGGCCCTTCTCCTCCTCAGGACGTAATTGTGCATGTGCGAGACCTGAGCCACCCCGAGACGGAGCTGCAGAAGGTCAGCGTGCTCGCGGCCCTGCGCGGCCTGGGTCTTCCTGCCCCGCTCCTAGACTCCGTGCTGGAGGTGCACAACAAGGTGGACCTGGTGCCCGGGTGAGTGGCCCTGCCCAGGCCCTATCCGGGACCTGGGGCCTCCATTCCCACAGCAGCCGGCTGGCTCAGGAGGGGAAGGGGATCAGAGCACCCTTCTCACAGATGCTGCCGGTCACAGCAACCACTAAAGGACCCCCAGAGTGGCATGCGTGGGGGTGACCTGCTCTGCACTCTGCAGGCCCTATATTTCACCCCAGCCTCTTCGTGGTTTAACCATTGCTCCCTTTATCTGCCCCTCTGGTGGGGCTGTGCCTCCCCTGGGACTGACTGAAGGTCACAGTCGGGGTCCTGTGGGCAGGGTCCTGTGGGAACCTCACTCGGCTGTCCTCGGCTGAGCCATGTCTGCGGCCGTCTGCACACAGGTATTGTCCGTCAGAGCCAGGTGCCATCGCCGTGTCTGCCCTCCTGGGGCTGGGCCTGGAGGAGCTTAAGGCTGAGCTGGAGGACGCTGTGTTGAGAGCCACGGGGAGACAGGTCCTGACCCTCCGAGTGCGGCTGGCAGGGCCCCAGCTGAGGTACGTGGAGNGTGCAGGATGCTCAGAGAGCTCTGTGTTCTGAGCACAAATCTGACTTAATCGCCCCGCATGTGACTGCCAGGGGCCCCGCTGGGCTGTGCCACCATGAGAGCGGAGGTCTGAGTGTGGGCTGGGTCACCCAGGGCAAAAAGTTACCCTGAGCTTGCAGTTTAGTGCCAACCTGTCTCCCTAACCTGCCCCTTCCCCCCAGCTGGCTGCACAGAGAGGCCACGGTGCAGGACGTGCATGTGGTCTCAGAGGCCAACGTTGCCGACGTCAAGGTCATCATCAGCAACTCCGCCTACGGGAAATTCCGGAAGCTCTTTCCAGAATGACTGGACAGCTGTGGCCTGGGGATAGTCCTTTCAGCCTGAGAATTAGGCCGGTCCCTCCTCTGTGATCGTGGCTGGATATCGGTGGTCGTGGTCAGACATGTGGGCGCCTCCTGTGGACTAGTTTCCCGCCCGGACATTTCAGCTACTGGATGTTAAACCTCGGTTCTTGTGTTCACAAACTAGCCTTTGTCCAAAGGAAATCTAACTTCTGGATTTGTTCACAGCAGGAAGTCACATCCTGGAGCAAAACTGCAGAGACTGCTGCTCCGAATGCCGACAGGCCGGAGACAGAGTCCTGGCCTCACAAACCTAGCCGAGGTCTTTCAGCTTTTGGAGACTCACATGCTTCCCAGAGACCCGAGAGTGAGCACGTTCCTAAATGAAATGCTGAGGGGAAGGGAGGCTCTCTCCCTTTTCTCACCCAGAAAAAGTTTTTATGTAATTTTTTTCCTTAGATGTGTTTTTGCTGTTACAGGGTGTTTCTTAAGTTGTCCCAGACGTCAGCATCCTGAGAAAATACTCTCTCCCCGTCTCCTGAGCTTGTAGGCAGCATGTGGGTAAACCTCCTAAACACTCCAGAGCAGGTCCTTGTTTATGAGGCTCCAAGACACACAGTGAACAGGCCCTGTCACGTCCTCACACCACCCCACCCCTGGCTGCCTGACTCAGCCATGCTGGGGAAACTCAACTTGGGAAGGTATGGAAGCCAGAATCCTGTCCCCAGAGATGTCCACATCCTGACCCTGGGGACCTGTGATGTCACCTTAATGGGCAAAAGGACCATGCAGACAAGACCAAGGTCAGGGTCCTGAGATGGGGATGAGTGCGTTACCCTGGTGGCCCTACATGGGTCCCTTTATTAGGTCCTCACAGGGTCCTAATAAAGGGAGGTGGCAGGTCACAGTCAGACAGGATGTGAGGACAGACCCAGAAGCTGAGTCAGAGGAAGCTGAGAGCCATGGTGCTGGCTCTGCAGACGCAGGAGGGGCCACCTACCCAGCCTTGCAAGTGCCTCCAGAAGCTGGAGACAAGAACACAGACTGTCCCTGCAGCCTCCAGAGGAGCCAGCCCTGGGACACCTGACAGCCCCGTGAGACCCACTCAGACTCCTGACTCTAGAACTGAGTAAATCTGTGCTGTTTGAAGCTTCCAACTGTGGTCACGTGTTATAGCCGCCCAGGCACAGCCACACATGTGGGATCCTGAGTGTGGGACGGGAGTACAAGGGCCCCTGAGAGCCGCCCACGTGGGACACAGTTTACCCAGCGCCCCCCGAGAGCTGGGCTCCAGGGACCCCGCAGGCTGAGTGCAGAGCTGGGACAGAGTCCTGGCCTCACCACTCCCCACCCCAGATGGGCTTGTCCCCTCCCAGTTATGGGTCCACTGTGCCCAGAGGAGCCAGGGCCCTGAGAACAACCCTGAGTGGGTGGGAGGGAGGCAGGCGGTGGGGCTGGGCAGACCCCGCAGTGCCCACCACCTATCTGACAAGGGACAGTATTGGGAGAGGAAGAACATCCCTCAAACAAAAGTCTCACAGACTCATCTTTAAAATTAAATACAGCCCAGCGGGTGTGGCTCAGCGGTTGAGCATCGGTGTAGGATCCAGGAGATCAGGGTTCGATTCCCGGTCAGGGCACAGGCCCGGGTTGCAGGCTTGATCCCCAGTCGGGGGCGTGCAGGAGGCAGCCGATCAATGACGCTCTCATCATTGATGTTTCTGTCTCTCCCTCTTCCTCTGTTTGAAATCAATAAAGATATATTAAAAAAACACACAGAACCTTTGAAGTTAAAAATATGACGGTACTAAAAGCATTGATCTGGTCTTTGGATTTATAAAGCAAAGATGAACAGGCGGGAGGAGGTACAATTCAATTGTTTAAATACATTTTCATTGATTTCAGAGAGAGGGAGAGAGAGAGAAACATCAATCAGCTACCTCCTGCACGCCCCATACTGGAGATCGAGCCCGCAACCCCGGCACAGAGCTCCGGGGGTGGCTGACCCAGCAGAGTGGACACCTGAGGTGGCCCGTGGCTGGCCCCGGCTCCATGTATGGGTCGCAGGGGCCCTTGTTAAGTAATGACATCCTTTTGGGAAGTGACTCATTTAATCCCAAAGAGAACACATTCCAACACAGATTCAGCAGTGATTTTCAAGACCGTCCTAAGAAGCCCTTGTGTCTGGTGCCCTCACATTTAGGAGGGATGTTCCCGAACAGGAGCTGCACGAGAACCTGTCGCTGCCCTGGCCAGTGTGGGTCAGCGGTTAGAGCGTGAGCCCAGGCACCAAAGGAAGGATCCTGGGTTCCGACTCCTTCCACCCCACTCGTACGTCGGCGCATGCGGGAGGCAACCTGTTGCGGTGTCTCACACTGAAGTTCCTGTCTCCCCCGCCCTCCCTGCACTTTCTCTAAAAAAGAAATGGAAAAAATATCCTGTGAGGATTAAAAAAAAAAATACAGCGATGATAGCTGTCCCTGTGAACGGATGCCTCGTAGTCAGAGACGGGAGATGGGACTGTCCCTGTGAACGGATCCTCATAGACAAGAGAGATGGGACTGTCCCTGGAAGGGGAGGGTTAGCTGTGAGCTCGCTGCCTGATTTTCACCCCTGGGGGCTGGGAAGCCCCACTCCGGGCCCTCGCCAGGCGTGAAGGTCCTGCCTGGCCGTGTGCCCGGGAGGAGGGGGCCCTGGGGACCTCACTGGAGGTGCCACGTGACAGTGGATGTGCACAGAGGAGGGACAGCTGTGAGGTCGGGGATGGAGGCAGCCCCAGCTGGCAGGACGACCTCATAGGACACAGCCCACACCCGTGTGCTCACCTGCATGAAGCACATGCAAAGGCGGCCTCTGGGAAATGGGGGCAGTGTGCTCAACACGTTCACGTTGGTCCTACCAGGACACTCCCAGGGTCCCTTAGGTTCCTTCCGACCTTCACAGCCAGAAACAGCAGCAACGGCAGCCACCCCAGGAAGCCTGCTGGCCGGGGTGGAGGGGAAGAAGGGACAGGCTCTGGTTTCTCTGGAATTAGAAACAGTCCCTGTTTTTTATTTTATTTAATTTTATTTTATATTTTATTTGGTGAATACTCACCTAAGGATATTTTTTCCATTGATTTTTACAGAGTGGAAGGGAGGTTGGGAGCGAGCGAAACATGGATGTGAGGGAGACACACCGACTGGTTGCCTCCCGCATGCCCCCCAACCAGGGCTGGGGACCGAACCTGCAACCCAGGTACGTGCCCTTGACTGGGAACCGAAGCTGCGGCCCTTCGGTGTGCAGGCTGGCGCTCTAACCACTCAGCCCGCCGGCCAGGGCCCCCCGTCCTTTGCTCAGGAGAGTCCATTGCGCTCAGTCCCATCCCACTGGCATGATCCCACCGAGGCCTCCAGCAGCCCCTGGAAGCGTCAGGATGCCACTCGGCTGCTCCAGAAGCCCCCAGGTGAGGGGACACCTCTGAGCACTTCTCGTGGGTGACCACGGACAGCAGGTCCAAACCTGGAGAACAGAACCCACAATTCCAGGTAACTCCTTCCTTGAAGACGTGACCCCGTAGTCGTTTAATCTTCAGCATAGTCACTGAATTCACCAGACACTGAGGCCAGTGAAGCCAGGGGCTCCCAGGGGGCTGAGGGATGCTGCCCGCGACGCCCCCCCCATTCTTTCGTGCCCAAGCAGCCAAGAGGGAGGAAGGGTGAGTCCTGGCGCCCCCCACGTGCGGAGACGGAGGGAGGTCAGCACCCAAGCAGCTTCTGGTTGAGTCTTATGACGTCGCTGACGAAGGTGTCGGCGCCAATGAAGTCGCCCGCGATGATGTTGGTGCAGCTGGGGCCTGGCCCCGGGCGCTGCTCACGGACCCACTCGCTCAGGTGCGGCAGGTTGGGCAGCGTCATCTTCTTGAGGGACTCGGACGGGTGCGCGAGGATGTACTCCAGGTTCTCCGTGAGGTTGATGCCGGCCACGAACAGCCCGCCTGCAGCAGCGGGGAGACAGGGGCTGTGACTGAACCCCCACCTGAGCTGCCTAGGCACCCGCTCTCTTCCCCCGAGGGGCCTGCTTCAGAAATGAGAACTGGCAATGGGGTGAAACTCGGGTATCCCTCCCACACAGAGGGTGGGGCGAGAAAATGACCCTGAAGGACAGCGGTAGACAGAATAATGTCCCCAAAGATGTCCACGTCCTAGTCCCCATGAGCGAGACCCAACGTAGGATGGACATCTGTCCACCCACTCACTTGGAACCACCCGTCTGTCCCTTCACGGGAGGGTGGACTTCTGGGTTGTTTCCAGCCTGGGTCCTCTCACAGGCCTGGCCCCACCCACACAGTGGGACCTGGTCAAGTCCAACGTCCAGGCAGGTCTGAGCCAGGACCCTGCCCCCCAGACCCCCTGTGAAGACCCACCCAGCCATTAACAACACAGACCAGAACCGGCCACCAAAGCAAGAGTCTTTCTGCAAAAACCAGCCGAACTGAGAATGAGGCAAAGGTCAGTGTGTGGACCTGGATGAAGGGGATGCTGCTCACATGGGAACCAGGGACCAGGGGATCCAGAGGGTAAGAGCACCCGGGTTGGGCACAAGTCTGGGTGCTCACAGACGTGTCACCAGTGATGGACGGGCCCCCACGGCTGGCCCTGCTGTTTGAAACGCACACTCACATCGGCTCAGAGGGAGCAGCTGTGTGAATTGTGAGATAGGCCATCAAGTGTCACACACACCAGACTCATCAGGGTGTCTGTGATACGAACTGGGACCCAGGAGGTCAAAGTGGCCATGGACACAGCCATGTGCCCCTGACCACAGATCTAAACCGTCAAAACCACAGACTCCATAAGCAAGAACAGTTCCCTTCTTCGAGCTGGCAGCTACGCCGAAGCAAAAACCACACTGTCGGAATAAGCCGGGGGCCCGTGTAGCACGGTTGCCTCAAAAGTGCTGATTTCCTTGCAAAAGTGAGAGCCACTGGGTTGAGGAGACCCCGCCGGGAAACCGCAGGGCTGTGGGCGATGTCAGAGGTCCACGGAAACATGGGAATCCCACGCTGCTCCTTGCTTGGAGCCATGGGCTCACATGCCACCAAGCAGGCCTTCTGCACCAAACCCACATGCATGTGCACACAGGTGTGCCTACATGACGTCCACATGCACACGTGTGCTTGTATTGACATGCACATACATGGCATGTGGATTTGTGGTACACACATGTACAGGCACGACACGTGGATGCTCATGTGCTTATCATGTGTACATGTGCACACACACGTACATGTTGATGCACACACCACATGCTGCTCTAAATCCCCTTCACGTCATGCCCAAAGCACGCATGTGACCCTCCTCCCCGCATGGGACGTGCACCCACCTGGGCGGCCGCAGCTCTTCATGCGCTCCAGGTAGTGGATCAGCTTCTCAGGCTTCACCTGGTCGCCCCACCAGTAGGGGATCCCCGGCCACAGCTCCGGGTGCCGGCCCACGGTGCACTCGTCCTCGTAGGACAGGAGCACCTGCTGGCCCCGAGCCCACAGCTGGCGCAGTGTTGGCACCTCCTGCAGGGAAGGTGAGAGGGGGACGGACAGACTGGGAGGAGGTATCCGGGTGTCTGAGAGGACAGTGATGGCAGTGGGGGGCCCCTACATCCGGACTGTCACAAGGACATGACACTCGCTTTCTTTCAGGGCAGCCCGACCTCACTTGGTTACTGACCAAACAGGAGGGTCACCAGGAGTCGGTGTTACAGGTGAAAGTGCCGGTCTGCTCTCCCTCCTTGGATGGACGTGTCCCCACCTCCCTCATCCCCCCGCTGTGACTTCCCCACTGAGACTCAGGATGCTGGCGCACCCCCAGGGCAGCCTCTTTCCCCCCCAGGTGCCCTCCAGGGGACCTGAGTGACTGGGTGTCCCCAGGCTCATGGCAGCACTGTGGTCATTGCTTCAGCCCAAGTCTGTTGGGGACGTGCTTTCCGAGGCCCCACAGGATGGGACTGGAGAGATGGAGGGTTGACATGAGTCTAGTCAGTCAACCTAAATGGTCGTGGGTTTAACCCTTCAGGGTACTGGGCATGAAGGTTGGGCACAGGCCAGAGGCCACCAGCCAACGGAGGGAGTTATCTGCTTAATTAAACCACAGGTGGGGTCACAGGCTGAACTGTGTCCCCAAAATTCTCATGTGAAAGCCCTGACCCCCAGGACCTCAGAATGGGGTTGCCTTTGGAGATGGGTCATAGAGGGGCGATTAAGGTCAAATGAGGCGACTAGGGTGGCCTTGATCCCACAGGACTGGGGTCCTTATAAGAAGAGATTAGGACACAGACACACACAGAGGGATGACCGTGTGAGGACACGCAGGAGACGGCGTCTACAGGCCAAGGAGAGGGGCCTCAGGAGGCACCAGCCCTGCCCACACCTGGGTCTCAGATTCCAGCCCCAGGGTGGGGAGAGAACACGTCCTGACGGTCCTGAGGCTCCCAGTCTGTGTCGGCTGCTCTGGCAGCCTCAGGGGTACTGAGAGAAACCACGTGCTCATAGGATGTGGGCACCAGGATCATCTCAGCATCATGTCCATATGGGGAACCCCGTGAGCCGAGGGAGTCTGTGCTCTAATCTCGCCCTCACTCTAATCTCACCCTCACCTTCCCAGGAGACCTGTGGGGAGGCCCTGCCCATCTCACCCCTCGCGGACACAGCATGTCCCCAAAGATGTTCTTGATGCAGGTGACCAGGTACTCGTGCAGGTCCTCGGTCATCCCCTCGAAGTTCCTGCAGGCCAGGATGACCACCTCCCGGGGGTGGTTCTCCAGCCACTCGGAGATCTCCGTGAGCGTGTCCTGGGCAGGGACAGGAGGGCACAGCCTTGACACAGGCCGGAGTCAAGGACGCTCCCAGCCACACTCACTGGACACAGGGGTCAGGTTCCAAACAAGCAAACACAGAAAGCACCCGGCTGCCCTCCCGCGCAGAACCCAGCCGCCCCAGTGAGGGCTGGACCACTGTGCCCGTCGCTGCTGGAAGCCTCCTGGGCCGTGCCTGCCCCCTCAGCAGGATGGTCCCCACCCCCGGCCCCCTCACCTCCACCAGCAGGGTCGTGTACAGCATGTGAACAAAGTGCAGGTTCTTCTCTGAGCCCTCGGGCATGTGGGCGATCCGCAGGTCCAGGTACCGTACCCCCGTGTCCAGCTGCTCCGTGACATTCAGCACCTGCAGGCCAAGGTGGGTCGTCTGCCCGGGTGCCGGCAGCTCCCACCTGGGCTCTGCGCTGCCCTGCTCAGCGGTGCGCACTGTGGCCTGTATCACCCGATGTCACGTCATAGCGTGGGGACCCGCCCACCGGCTGGGGAGCCACAGATCGAACCTGGGGCGGGGGCCCCATCCTGTGGAGCCACTGGGCTGGCCCCTGCCACCCATGTGCCCTTGGCTCTCACCCTGGACTCGGGCATCTCCAGTCTCATCTCCTCCCAGGCAGTCACTGGGAGGCCCCAGTCCCCTGCTGTGGGCCGCAGCCACCCAGGGTGGGGCCCAGGGCACCCCTCCTGGACCCTCGGAGACCAGAACATGCCCAGGAAGGTCAACCGCAACGGGCACTGTTCACCCACAAACATCTCACAAATAGCTGTAGGAAAGGCAACGAGGAATCGAGACAGAAGGGGAACAAGGGTCCCCAATCCCCCCGAGTCACGGTGGGGACAGCGAAACGGATCCGACAGGGAGAGTGTGGGGCTGTGACGGAAAAGGTAAATTGGTGCAGAGGTGGGAAACGGGAGGCACGGCGGCACTGTCCCTCTATCCGAGTAACAAGGGAAGGAAGCCTCATTCACACAAAAAGTAAACATGCTGCTCTGCGCCCTGTGGAAAGGAATGGAAAAGGCAAGTGATAACCAGGGGCTGGGGCCTCGACACAACACAAAGGTGGAGAGACCAAGGGCACAGTTTCTACGCCCTGCAGGGCCCTGCTGGGAGCTGGGAAACTGACCTACTGGGTGCAGGGCGGAGCAGCTGTGCCGGGTGAGGCCTAGTGTGGGGGGGAGGGCCTGGCAAGCATCACCCATGGGCCGCCCTAAGTCCCAGAGCCACAGGCACCCTGTGAGGGCAAATCAGCAACTGCAGGTGCATCCAAGGGTCGGAGTGTCCCTCCCGTCCAGGGGACAGTGAAATCTGCCTGGGATCCGGAGCCCAGGGCTGACCCTGCTTAGATCTGGGGGCAGGACCCCCCGCTGCCAGAGGACCCCTAACAGGCAGGATCCTTCGTGTCCCCCAGCCGTTTGTGTTACAAAGCCACAGTGACGCCCTCCCTCCCGTGGCCTGCCTCCGGCAAACGTTACACGTTAATCAGCTTCTGGGCACAGCAGGTACCTCAGAAAAATCACTTTCAGGGGTCGCAGAACCTCCCAGGTTGCCATGCACCTGGGTAGACTGAACCATCGCCCGGCACCTGGATGCATAAGTACAACCTGAGGTTATTTCCTCTGCGATTCCCCACAGGCTTTCAGCTTTTTCAGCAGTGCCCCCCCAACACCCCTCCAGCAAGGCTGCACCCCGTGACTGTTTGGAGTTCTGTCCGATCCTGTACCAGAAGTCGGGAATGTGGTTTCCCTACTTTCACTCGCACATGGGCCCCTGCAGGGAGTGATGGAAACTCCCAGAAAAGCAATTACCTGGGACCCAGCCCCGGGATGGGGCGGGGCGCTGGTTTCCCGGCAACGCATCCGGCGGCGCATCGGGAGGGAGCCCCAAACCTTGCTGGGCCTGGCCCACAGCAGAGTAGAGAGAGCTGGGGTGGGTGTCCACTGGTGGGCCAGACATTGGTGCCACCACCTGCCACCACCTGCACCCCAGGCCTGGACCAAAGCCACCTGGATGGCCCCCACCCACAGCCTGGGCCACCGTGAGCAACTCGGGAGGCCCCTCCTCTTCAGCTCCCACAAGGACCCCTGGTCCCCTGGCTCAACAAGGGAGGGGTGTGCGCGACAGAGCAATGGGGCAGAAAGAAAGGAAGGAAGGATGGCCTGGCCCGGGCACCAGGAGGTCAGGGTTCGATTCCTGGTCAGGGCACAGACCCGGGTTGTGGGTTTGGCGTGCAGGAGGCAGCTGATCCATGGCTCTCAGCATTGATGTTTCTCTCTCCCTCTCCCTTCCTCTCTCTGACATCGATAATAATAATAAAAAGGACAGGCCTAATTGTCTGTCAAAAATAAGGGAGGAGTCGCCCCCTCGCTCCCTCTCTCGGAGCATTTACTTGAGAAACGTGTAAGGGAGGTTCTTTCCTTTTCCGGGTGTATGTCCCTCGACCGTGCCTCTGGCCGGCCCCACAGCTCGGTGTCTCCCGCAGGCCACCCTGGGGGAGGAAGGCGCCCCCTGGGAGGAAGGCCTGGCCCCAGGCTCACACACACCTGGGGACAATGAGACCCGGCCCCGGGGGACCGGGAGTGTCCGCTCAGATGCCCGGGAGGCCACACACCTCCTGCTCTGCGACCCCTGGGCAGCTGCCTGCATGGGCCTCTCATTCCGGTTTGGAGCTGATCCTGCAGTAACCTGTGTTCTTGGTCTCTGACCCCAGTGCGGAGGGCTCTGGGTTGGCGGGAGCTTTGTTTTTAATTCTTTTCCCCCAAAGGGTTAGGGCGCCGGCCCAGGAGGGTTAGGGTGACGCAGGAACCAGCCCCCAAGCCCGAAGACGCTTACCTGGGTGACGGACCACTTGAGCACCGCGGGCTGGGTAATACACGGCAGGACCTTGGCCAGCAGCAGCAGCAGCCGGGACTGGGTGTGGGAAATGGGGGATTTCCGGTTCAGGCCGTAGGTCATGGTGTCGTGGCTGCCTGGAATCAAACCACGGACATGCCACCTCAGTGCCCCCTCAGCTGTGCGTGGAGCTGCACGCGGAGCTCTGACAGGGAACGTGCAGAGAACATGTGGAAAACCTTGGAGAACATGCCCAGAACACACACACGCAGGGTGGATGGTGCCCCCCAAATTCACGTCCTCACAGAGCCTGCTGATCGGGCTTTATCTGGAAATAGGTCTTTGCAGACGGGATTAGTGAAGGCCCTGAGATGAGGTCGTCCTGGGTCAGGGGGGCCCAACGCCCAAGGACAGGGTCCTTGTAAGAGGCAGAAGACAAGACACAGACACAGAGGAGAAGCCTGGGGAGATCAAGGCGGAGACAGGAGGGAGGCGGCCACCAGCCCGGGGGACGCCTGGAGCCCCAGGAGCTGGGAGAGGCAGGAAGGACCCTCCCTGGGGCCTCCGGAGGGAGCTCAGCCCTGGGACCCCTGGATCTCAAACGTCTGGCATCCAGGATGGAGAGAAGATGAATTTCTTTGTTTTAAGAAATCCGATTTGTGGTATTTTGTTATAGTGGCCACTGGAAACTCCCATAACCAATACATCTTAACTGCATAGAAATGAAAACATAAGATAGATGGAAAAATTAAAATTCTATGTTTGTATTTGTTTTATATTTATATATTTACATGGTATATTTTATGTATAATATATATGGATACACATGTACAGGGTGAGGCAAAGGTAGGTTTGCCGTTGTGAGTACGGGAAAGACAGTTTATTCTAGTATTATTAATTATTGTATTATTTTCCATACGAACAACTGTAAACCTACTTTTGCCCACCCTGTATATGGGGATAACCCATTTATATTGATACATTTGTATATATTTTAAACAATCATGTGCTCGCCCTGGCCGGTGCATTCAGTGGTTAGAGCGCACAGAGGGTCGCAGGTTCCATCCGGCTCAGGTCGGGGCACCTGTGGGAGCCAGCCCATCAGTGTCTCTCTCCTCTATTT